TGACCTTGCCAAGGGTGTGTGGGTGTCTGGGGCTGGGGGCTGCTCAGCCGTTCCCCCATGTGAGTGGGCAACTTCCCTGGATGGAGGAACTCATGGCAGCGTGATGGTGGCCGGTGTCTGAGCTGTCTGTGTGGGCCCCTCTGGGGTCAGGGGGTGGCTGGTGGCACTGCTGGCTTGGCTGCCCTGCATGGGGGTTTCTGCCCTGCTGCTGGCACCGAAACCCCTTGGGCTGAGGAAAGGGGCAGCTGTGACACCGCAGCTGGGGATGTGCTGGTGGTGGGGTGTGTTTTGGGGTAGTCACCCATCTGGCTCCCCCAAGTGTGCAGTGGCAATGCCCTGAGCTGCCCTCAGTGGCCACAAAGTCTTGGTTTGGTATGGCAAAAACTTGCAGAGGGGAGAAATACCTGTGCCAGGACCCTCCCCAAATCCCGGATCTCTGCCTGCCTGGGAGCTGACGCTGTCTTTCACTTCCCAGCTCGGTGGCGGGACCCTCCTGGGAGTTGGCATCTGGGTCACAGTGGATGGACAGTCATTCCTGAATATATTTGGGACGATCTCCTCTAGCATCCTGCAGGTTGTGAATGTGAGCTACTTCCTCATCGTCATTGGTTCCATCCTGCTAGTGATCGGCTTCCTCGGGTGTTACGGTGCCCAGAAGGAGAGCAAGTGTCTCCTGATGATGGTATGGACCTGACTTCTCTCCTTATCAAGCCTTATTTGAGCTGGGTCTCTGGTGGGGGAGATCTGAGGGACGGATTTATCTGTGGAGATGTGCTCCTTGAATGTTCTCATGCGATGGAAGGCTGGGTGGACCTTGGAAAGGCAGTGCTGGACCCAAAGTCTGCTCTGGGCAAGGGTGAAAGGAAGCAGAAGCTGGTGGTGAGCAGAAGTCTCTCTTGGAGCATATCTGGAGAGGTCAGCCCCATGCTGAGGATGGGAGGACTCCAAGGTTGGGCTTGGAGCAGAGCTGAAGGCAATGAGAGAGGGCTTGAGCCCTGAGGGAGGGTCCTGCAGCTTTTGGGAAGCACATGGGTTCCTGGGGACCCTCTGGACTCTGGATGTTGCTTTGACCTCCCTCCCCTTGCTGTATCCTAGTTCTTCTCGGTGGTGCTGATCATCTTCATTGCCGAAATTGCTGCTGCTGTGGTGGCTCTGGTCTACACAGGCTTTGTGAGTGGCATATCTGAGTCTTGGGTTGGGCGAATGTGGAACCTGTCCTACCCCTTGGGAAAACAGGAGACACTGGGGCTGGCAGTGCTGCCCATGGGTGGGGAAGCTGAGAGGTGGGCACTGCTGCAGGAGAAAGGGACACCTGTCCCTGCTGGCACCAGTTCTGTGGTCTGGCTGGGGTTGAGGGTGGTGGGAACAGGGATTCCCATTGCCCTAAAGAAATGAGGGTTATGGCACAAGCTTTGCCTGCTTCTTTCTTTCAAACCCCTTAGTCCAGTAGCAGCCTAAGCTTGACACCTCTCCACCTCTGATGGTAGGAGCCACACAGAAGAGGAAGTCCTTAATGCTTCATGCTAAGCAAACTCAACCCCTTATTACGCACCTGGGAAACCACCTGGGGAGAAAGGTGACTGCCTCATTAGGCACTGGAGAAGTCAACCGCAGGGCAAACGTCATTCCTAGTTCCCTCAGTTATGCTGCTTATCAGATGACTCACTGGTCACAAGTGGCCTCAGTGCCATAAAGCACTGGTTAGTGGGGAAGGGACCAAGCTGTCCTTGGGCCGAAGTGATGCAGTGTGATCTGTTCCTGGCCATGCTGGGTCTCGGTGGTCTCCTCCCCATGGGCTGAGAGCAGTATGGGAGCTCTCGGCTCTGGAGTGCTCCCCAGGACCTTCTCTGATAGTGTTTTTCTGCTTCCTCTTCCAGGCAGAGACGCTGCTGACGGCCGTGGTGACCCCTCTCCTGAAGGAGAAGTATGGGGTGGATAAGAGTCTCACGCACATCTGGAATGTCACCATGAGGGAGGTGCGCTGACCCCTGGGACCCCCACCCGTGGGTCAGGATGCTCCCAGCACAGGCTTGGTGGTGCACAGCTGGGTGGGCCAGTGGGATGGGAATGAGGACACCATTGCAATCCTGGATTTGTTGAGCTGTCACCACCCCAGCAGCTTCCCAGGTGCCTGGGACCTACGCGCTTGGGATCTAGAGGTCCTGTGCCTGGGGCAAGAGCTGCCCATGCCACAATGTGGGGCAAAATCCTGGTCCCAAGAAGGCCATTGAGCACCCACACTGAGTTGGGTGACCCCACCCCCTCCATGGGGCAGCAGGGTCCAGACCGTATCTGACCCAGGAGGGAGACCTGCGGGATGCTCTCCCCATCCCTTCCTCTCTCTCCCTCTTAGGTCCATTGCTGTGGCCTGAATAACTACACAGACTTTACAGACTCATACTGGCTTGAGCAACACAAAACCTACCCGGAGCCCTGCTGTAAAGACCTGGAGCCTTGCAACGGCACGGTTGCCGCACAAAGCGATGTCCCGGTACGTCTGGACCAGCAGCTCTTGCCTTCTGGCAGAGCCTGGTTTGGGGTGTGCCGTGGCACAGGGAGGGAGGCCTGTACTGGTCCTGTAGCCCCAGCTCTGGACATGATGGTCCCATGAGCTTTAAGACCTGGGGAATGCTGTGGTGGCTTTGGCTTCTCCCTGGTGGAGACAAGCAAAGCTGCTACCATTGCTCTGGTCCTAAAGGGAGCTCTGTAGCAGCATGACATGCCTGGAGGTGAGCATGAACCCAGGCACCACTCTACCCTTTTTTTGGATGATTTCCCTTCCTCCTTTTCCCCTCCTCCCCCCACAATACTGTACTCTGGCCTGAGAAGTGGCTGAGATGAGTTGCCCCCTGAATCCACCAGACCTTCTCCATGGCCATGCAGCTCTAGGCTGGAGAACCGTACCTCCCTTTCCAGGGATATTGTGCCCCAGTGTTTGGGGGATTGATAGCCCTTGCTCATCCTCACCTGTGTGTTGCCTCTTGCAGGGTTGTTTCAGTCAGATCTTGGAAGAAATCAAGACTAATGCGGGTGTGGTGGGTGGTGTGGCAGCTGGCATCGCTGCCTTGGAGGTGAGTGCCTGAGCATCGCTGTCCTGCTGCCGCCGCCTCCTTGTACCTGGAGGTGAGAGGTGGGGCCAGGACCAGCCTGGGTGGCTGAGGGGCTGCAGGAGGCTGGTGCAGCCCCGTGGACCACCATCTGCTCTGGAGTGGCTACTGAGCCTTCTTCCCTGGGCACACCTGGCTTTTCCTCCTTGTGTGCGTTGGGGATGGGTGCTATGGGCTGTGACCCGAACTGATGCTGGGGTGGGACACCGAGGGAGGCTAACTCGCCTCTTGCTGCCCACAGATTGCGGCCATGACGGTTTCCATGTACTTGTATTGCCACCTGGATCAGAAATGACCCCACGAGGCAGGAGGATGATCTGCCCCCACCCCCCCCTCCGTTGCTGGGGTGCACCTGTGGTGCACTGTGCTCTTGGGGGGGGGGACACCCAATTGCTCCCTGGGCCTGATGCTGTCCTCTGCACTGTGATTTATAGCTGTGTTTTGATCTACTGAGCTGGGATCTGTAAAGTTTATGTGTATATTTTTGTACTGATATGGCACACTGTGTCTGTACATAGAGATTTGGGGTGTTGTTTTTTTTTTTTGAAAGGGGGGGAGGGGGGAGAAGCTGCTTGGTCTGATTAGCTGATGCCAGCGGGAGATAAAGCGGCACGGGGCCGATCAGGGCTGCTGATCTGGCAGTGGCACAGCGATGCCTTGATAAACCCTTGCAGGTGGGTGCTGTACCTCTCCCACGCTGTCCCCACCGTGTCCCTAAGTGGGGGCTGGCACTGGGGCTGGTCTGTGCCCCCATGCATCTCTCAGTTGAACTG